ATTTAATTTGATAACCTATTAAAATGGAGCAATTTGTTTTTTCATGAGTGATAAAGCTATGATTAGTTCCAATTTATTTTTGTCCAAGAGAATGGGCTGGCCAAGTTATAAATATAAAAAATATTCTAGTCTATATCAGTGGTTCCCAACCTTTTGTACACCAGTGGACCACAGGCTATATGATCTCCACTTTAAACTTTTCTTTTAAAATTTGAAAAAAAAAAAAAAAATCATTCCTTTTGTCTCTAGACAAAAAAAGAATAATTTTTTTTTTTTTTTTTAAAATTTAAAAAAAAAAAAAAAAATCATTCCTTTTGTCTCTAGACAAAAAAAGAATGATTTTTTTTTTTTTTTTTAATGAGTTCAGCAGAAAAATACAGAACAATGTTGACCTTCTTCCACCAGGTGGAATATTTAAGCTCATTGTTCAACCTTTTGATTTCACTTTTATGTCATTATCTTTCTGGTTTTCTTTTCCCCACCTTTGTGTGTGTTAAAAAAAAAGAAATAAAATTGCTGAGACTTGAAATGATATTACTAACTTGTGTGTTGTAATCTTCGTATCCCTCACAATCCAATTATCTTTTCTTATTTAACATGCCCCCTTCCCTCTGTGTTTTTATTATAAACCTTATAGGAAATATAACATTAAAGATCTGTAAAATATTTATGTACAGAAGCAATAGCTTCACAAAAGTTCATGTGGTTGCTTGTGTTAAGTGATTGTCTTTTTAAATGATTGTGTTGTACAGTTTTTTTTTGTTTACTTTATAAAACCTATAATTTGTATGTTCATTAAAAACATGTTATTTTCTAAATCCTAAGAAACTATGTTATATTTCTTTAAAAAATTATGTGAATATCAATTTACTTTTAAATAGTTTGTGTATAACGTGTGTTTAGAAGATAAAACATGGAGTTAAATATTGATATCCTAAGGAAAATTTTCTATTGAGGCCTTTTAACATCAAATTTATGCAAAATTTCTTAAATGTATCTTTAAAAACATTTGTAACGCTTCTTTTTTGTTTATTTAATAAATAAAATTCCATAATAAAAATAATTATGAAAGTAGAAATCATAATTAATTTGAAATTTACATATTTTAATTATAACATAAGCCTATATTGTATTAGCATTTGATATACATATTTTATTTTTTTTTTTGTGAGATATTAAATACCAACAAGACCTATGCCATTTAAAAAGCATGTCTTTAGCAAGTGTTAGCTTATTAAATTATTGATTAACACATGTAAAAAGTATTTACAATTATTCTCAGAATTTATATATGGCAGGTATTTATGTTTTATCTTGTTACATTACTACAATAAAAAATATCTCCAAAAAAAGTTAGCTACCATATTATATATCTGTCTTCTAAAATGAGGATTTTCAAAGAAGAAATCCATTTTGAGCTCAAAACGTTACGTATTATATAAATCAAGAAAAATAAGGACATTTAGAGTAGAATAATTGGCATTAACTGGGACAATTTTCTAATTTATTTTGTATTCAATTTCATTCAATTTATTTTGTATTCAATTTATGCAAAAGGTTTTTAAAGAATAAACAGAAAAAGAAATATTTGATTTACTTATTTTAAGAAAATACGCAACTTGTAAATAATTAATTATATTACTTGTAAATGGCCTTCAATTGTTTAATACCCAGACAAATCATAAAACTTAATGTTTCATGGTTTAGGTTGCTTGGTATGTAGGGGTGTTTTCAAAATAAATTTAACAGTTATAGAAAATATAATTTTTTTTTATATCTCTGAAATATGTTAGCATAATTATGTAATCTATTACAGTACAATTAATTAAATTTAGTATATTTAAAATTTGTAGGGGGAAAATCTGAAGACAATCATTTTAAATATCTCCCAAGTAATGAAGTTCATTTAAATTGTAACTGGATCTCTTTAATGCTACATAGTGAAACCCCCAACCAGATACAATGTTGATCTTTGAGAACTACAACTCAGTTTGACTATAATGATTGAAGACAATGAATTTTTTTGTGCATATATTTTTTGCATATCCCATCATGCATTATAATTGTATAGTACACTGTAATGGTTTCCCTGAGCAACGATAACTTATATTATCAAAGTAGATATTGGATATTTCAATATGAAATAAATTTTCACTTATATTTTCAGTTTATGACCCAACATTTTGTTTATGGATAGTGATCTATACTTTCCTTTAATGACAAAGAACCTAAAAAATTTACATACTAAAACCGCAGTTGTATGTCAGTTTGTTTAAGATTGATCAAATCTTTAATATTATTTTTTAAATTTTAAGTCTTGTAATTTAAAAAAAAAATGATATGCCATTTAAACAAAGAGTTTAAGACATTTTTTTTTTATCATAAAAGGCAATGCATTATGCATTTTCTTATATATTTTGATGTTACAATATTTGTTAAATCTTTATGCATACTAGTTATCATGTGTTAAAAGCAAAAGAAAATCCAATTTTTTATGGTGTTTCTGTGTAAATATGATATTCAATTTTCCTTTCTTGCTTTACTGTTCTATCTCCTGTAGTTGGGTAACTTATATTGGAAAGTAATATCAGTAATTTGAAAGATTTACCTTTCTTAAATATAAAACTCGTTTTATAAGTTTTCTATCAAAAGGTTAAAATCTATTCAACAATGTCACTTAAATCAAACAGCTGAGAGCATCATGTTTAAAACTTTACCCAACTATCAGGTAGCCTACATATGCTTTTTTTTTTCCTCCCTCCAAACTATGGTGAAAAATTGTGATTTTAACATTCCAAATCTAAATAAATTGTAATGTTCCTATTATATGTCTTATCACCCAGAAGCTATATTAAAATATTTTCTTTTTTAAGCTTCTTTTTTTTAAAAACAGGAAATTAATGCGGTATAGGTCTATGAATGTTCCTAAATGCCTAATTTTGTGTGTATAGATAATTACATTTTTCACCCCAAAAATCATCCCTTGTGATTTTATAAAGTTTTTAAACAAGTCATTGTTGCTTCTGATGCAAATTTATAATTAAAGACATTGTATATTGTCTTTAAATATGATTTTACATTTGCCCAAACACTCTTTTAATGTTAACATTTTAGCTGTACGCAGTAACAGAGGGGTTTTTTTTTTGTTGTAAATATGACAGAAAGAATCAACTTTCCACACAAATTTTATTGTCAGTTAATTTCAGAAGAAAAGTAGCAAATCAAAAAATTTATGAGCCTACTCATGAAAATTCTTTATTTTTTTACTGTTCATATCTTTCAATTTTCATAGTAACTAACTAAAATAAGAGTTCCTTGGTAATTGCTGCCCTTCGGTTAGCTTCATAGTTCCATCATTTTTTATTTTTTTTTTTTGGACACACTTTCATACTTTTTAAGTCTATCTTTGTCATTTTTGGAATTCTAATGTTCATAATATGCAAACCTTATTAAGCTAACAGCCTTTTATAAATCCATTAATTTTATTATTCATTCTGTTAATTTTTTAAATATTCATTATTTTATTAAAATGTCAACAAATATTTTTGTAGCTGTTAAAATTTTAGGTTTAGAAATAAAAGGGAAAAAAATATATTTATTAATTTAACTCTTGCAAATAACCATTTTAAAAAATGAATAACTTTAACTCCTCATTTTAATCTATAGTCTTGGAGAAAAATGGAAGGGAGATCTTTTTTATGTATTTTTTTAAAAATTGGCTGGATCAATGTTAAATTTTTGCAGTGCCTGATGAAATGTTTGATTTACATCGAAGACTGGTCAGACACAACATGAAGCTCCCATTGTATGTTGCCTTGGAATAGTAACACATAGTTCATCGTAAATGTAAAGATATTTTTTTATGGTCATTCTATGAAGAAACAAAGAAAAAGAAAATTTAGATACTAAAGAAAAAATTATAATTTATACCATTGTTCTTTAACAACAACAACAAAAAAAAGCTCTGGATAGTTACCGGATAGTAAATCTGAAACAATTAAGCCTTTCCAATGTAATTTATTATGTATATTTTTTTTTTTTACGAACGTATCTAAAATAAAGACAACCAACAAATATTTCAATTGCATATGTCAGTGTAATATTTCTCTATTTTCAATTGAATATTGTTTTATTATGTTGTAGTTATGGTTTATCTTTTTTTTTTTTTTACGAACGTATCTAAAATAAAGACAACCAACAAATATTTCAATTGCATATGTCAGTGTAATATTTCTCTATTTTCAATTGAATATTGTTTTATTATGTTGTAGTTATGGTTTATCTTCTCCCCTAATAAAATAAACTTTGGTAAAATACAACTTGTCATTCTTTTAATGATATGTCACATAAATTGTTGTTGTTCGTCAGTCAAAATCGACTAGGACCGCTTAATGGGGAGGGTTGGTTACGGTGAGCTCGTAGGTGGCCTGCTCGGAATAATCTCTGGCCCCGCGGGCAGGGGATAAGATCGTCATATAAATACACATGTAAACGGTGGCGTAGCTGGGCTTGGTGTCACACGGTGCGGTAAACTCATAGTGCCACCCCCCCGTCTTCCATGACTGATATTTTGTTAAAATAAAAATGACAAAAATAAATTAAATGTAGGTCAGGAAGTAAATGTATTTAAAAACTGCGACCAAGTTAAGTTATTTTTTACATAAAATTCACTTTATTTAAAAGTTTCCTTTCCTAGTCATCAAAGCTGCAAACCTGTCAATTATTTAAAATCAAAATCAATATTTTCACCATATATCTTTAAATTTATAGTAGAGCAAGATCAGAAAGCCTTGACTGTCCCATGGTGGATCTTAAACAGTTCTTGATAAGTCAAATAATAAAGTTTATTTGAAAAATCACGCTTCATCCTCAAATGCTCGAAGCTTGTTACAAAGTCAACCATATTATAAGAGAAAATGAAACTATATATTTTTCCACATTGAAATACAAAACGCAACATTACAAAAACTACATGAATACGCTCTAGCTGCTAGCTATTCCGAAACGGAAAGCCATTCAAAGATGGGGAGTATGCCAAAGCATTCATGCTTGATGTTGCCAATGAACTTTTTGATGACTTTTCGGATGAAAAAATATTTAAACGAATAAAAGACATGCCGCTGTCGGCGAGAACTGTTCACAATCGTAGCATCATGATGTCAAGTGAAAGACATAAATGCGGCACCTTTTTTTCTCTCGCTTTGGATGAGTCAACAGACGTCAGTAATTTATCCCAGTTCAGCGTGGTTGCAAGGTATGTAGTCGGTGATACACTACATGAGGAAAGCCTTGCTGTTTTGTCTATGAAAGGCACAACAAGAGGACAGGATTTATTCAGGTCCTTCACTGAGTTCGTTAAAGAAAAAAATCTATGGATGGCTAAACTTATTTCGTTGCACTGATGGGGAAACACAGAGGATTTGTCGCTCTTCTTTGTGAACACGAAAACAGACACATCATAAGCTTTCATTGCATCCTACATCAGGAGGCGCTTCATGCTCAGAGCAGCTTGGTGAGGTGATGTCGCTGGTGGTTCTGGTAGTCAACTTTATTGTTGCCCGAGAATTAAATGATCGCTAGTACAGAGAATGATTGATGAGATTGGGAATAATTATCCTGGTCTGCTTCTGCACAGCAACGTCCGTTGGTTGTCAAGAGGCACCTTGCTCAGCCAATTTGCGGCTTGTCTGAGAGAAATTAGGACTTTTCTTGAAATGAAAAATGTGCGAGCATTCCGAGTTAGCTGACACTGATTGGCTCTTGAAGTTCAAATGACTGAACATCTAACTCAGCTCAATGTGAAAATGCAAGGCGTTGAAAATACAATCTTATCCCTGCAACAAGCAGTATTTGCATTTGAAAACAAGCTAAAACTCTTCATCACTGTCATTGAAACAGGTCGTTTACTACACTTTGAAAAAAACTTCAAAGATACGTGCATCTTAATCTTCAGCAGCTAGCAGGCTTCACGTCTAATCTCCTGCAGTCATGTAAAGCGCGCTTTGGAGAATTTCTCGAGCACACCCGTCTTTTCCAGTTCATCACCCATTCACACGAGTGTGCAGTTGACAACACTGACTTGAGTTGCATCCCCGGTGTCTCCGTCAGACATTTTGAGCTCAACGAGACTACAAAGCAATCAGCATCATTAATTTTAGTGATTTGAACAGGTACGATCGTTAAAAAACGAGAATCCCGTTTGTACGGGACGTTTGGTCACCATACTGTAGTTTCAAATACTGGCCTGTCAGATTAACCCAAAGTAGAATAGCCCAAAGATAAAGACAGCAGATAGATCTGAAATCAGACAGACAGGGTTTATTTCAGCCCGATCTCGGGCGGGGGGGGGGATGGGTGGGGGGGGGGGAAAGGTCAACCAATAGCAAAAAAAAAAAAAAAAAAAAGAAAAAAAAATAAATTTTATTTTTAAAAACAATTAGTGACAATTAATGAACAGTTTTCAAAACCCACAAGACCTTTCTAATAGACCTGTTTTTTTTTTCTTTTTGACTATGGTTAAATTAGGACATATTGAGAAAAGTTAGTCTAAGCATTATAATTATAAGTACGTTTTTTTTCCCATTTGCGTTAATCATTTATGTTTGCAGTACCTTTTAGTGATGGAGTCCTTTTAAATTGGATTTTTTTTTGTGGAAAATTCATATATTAATAAAGAAGCTATCCCTAAAAAAAATGCAAATAAAAATAAAAGCTAAATTACTATTTATAGTAATGTCTGGTTATTATTATGGCTAATTTGCCATTTCCCGTCCGAACGTTTGAAATCCCACTTCAAAATTGTCTGAAAGAAATAAATTCATGCATGCACCAAAATAATGCACCCCTGTATTTTGAGTAGGTACGACAGTCTTTAGCACCTTTAATTATCCAAACGCTGATCAAAGGTACGCTATGGGTAGTGCCTATCCATAATGATTAATCTGCGGCAAGCCACAAACTGAACGAATTCAGGTCATATAAGGCACTGGGCTAAACAATGCCTCTAACAAACCCTTAAAAATGTCTCTCCCTTTTCAAAAGGTAAAATAGAAACATGGAATTCGAGTATAATTAATTTTGAACATTTTTTGGGGATCAATATCTCCACCGATCAAGATTCATCGGCGCAATCGATTTCCACCCTACTTTTCGATGAAAATTATCGCGTAGCTGCCATGAACGGCCAAATATTTTTGCCGTCCTCCCTTGTACGATTCACACTCTGCAGGTGTCCAAAAATGCCACAGCAGCATATTAAGACAAAGTGACACCCAGGTGGATGACTCCATCTGCCCTAGTTCGACGCCCCTAGTAGGGTCATATCCACAGTGGTTGGTATCAGGAGACAAGATTAATTTTTATGCTCCCCTTTAACTATAAAATATTTTTTTTAAAACCAATTTATTCAACCAAAGCCCATTTTTGCCCCTCCCCACTTATGTGCCATCTGCTACGCCTTTGTCAACTAAAATCTGGCATACCCTCCCCCCCCCCCACTCCCCATGAAAATCTGAAGTAACCCCGGGGTAAAATTTCTGTGTTTTTAAATGTTTGTAGACCTACTTGGTCTGTTCAATTAAATAAACTACCACAATTACATCCGAAAAGCATTGAGTCTAATGGTACATGGGTGAGAATCCATTTTGATGTCATTTGTGGTAGTTTATTATAGTTAAACTGAATAATTACAAACATATAGTATTGTATTCATTATATATCCTGTACAATTAAGTACCATATCGTACGAATTTGAAACGATTTTGAATGATTTCAGGCGTTCGATCGTAAACTGGTGTGCTATAAACAAGAAAATATACAATACTAATTGAAAATTGAAATGGTAAATTTAACGCGTATATTTCCACAGGTGATAAGATCTCCTAGCTAAATATTTAAATTAAATTTGTATCACAACATCTCGTGTTCCATATCAAGCAAATTCAAGTATCGTCGGATGAAATGACGTCGTGGTGGGCCAATGGTATCCTACAATTCTGGCGTAGCATGTCATGACGAGATTCTCTAAAAGGAAATAAGCATTTCCTCAGTGAACCTTTCGTAGCGGGAAAATAGCGAGTACCAGAGAGATGTACAATGCCCATTTGTACACTGCTTAAATTCAAACATTCCTTATTCTTTTCGCTCTTTAGAATGTCGTCCATGTACACTTTTGTCAAGACAAATCTTGTGTAACCGCATACAATGACGCTTCAAGTATGCAGATCACTGACCCATGCAAATATGTTGAAAGAGTGTTTGATTTGTAGTAAGAAATACAATGATTCTTTGGGAGTATCCCAGAGTTTTAAAGAGTGGGTGATCATATCTCCGCAGCACAAATGAAACTTGAGGACAAAGAAATTTACTCACGTTCCTTCATTGAACAAATATACGCTTCATTGATATCTGAGCCCTAAACCTCGAATTTGAAAACTGATTTCAGGATTTAAAAAAACAATGTTCTTTTTTGTGCATATACAGCACAATTCATTGTAGACGTGAATCATAAACAATGTGAAATTTGTTAAATGAGAAATTCAATCAAATCTTTAACTCTAAATTAGAGACAGATAAATATTCTGCAATTTACAAACATGAGGTGTCTGTATGTATGCGCGTGAACAGCTTTTTAGTCGTATGATGCAAATGAAACGTACATGAATTTAACAAAATGACGAGCATGGGCTGGTTAGTTTACATATCTTGCAGGCTAGCACGTAGGTTCTTGGAATGTATTTTTATAAAAGCAATGGTAACACAAAGCTAGACCTGAGCAAATATCAGAATCTCAAAAAGCAGAAGAAAAAAAAAAAGGTTAGTGATCTGTGCAAAGCTGATATAAATGTATTTTGTAAATGCTTTCTTCGGTTCTTCGGTAAATCTCGTTCGAGGCTACTTCATTTTTTAAAAATGTTTGTTCAGTTGGAAATTTCTCCAGGTAAGCAGCGGTAAAATTCAATCAGCTTTCCTTTTCTTTCAACTGTAACTAAATTGGTTCGTCAAGCAACAAATGCATTCTGAAAAAGATAAATGTCAACCTCAATTGCAAAGATCTCTCTAAAAAATGTCAAGAACATTTCCTCACGTTCTACATTGTCATTGTAATCTGACAAATACGCATCATTGATATGATGCTCTATACCTCGAATTTAAAAACCGATTTCAGGATTTAAAAAAAACATATGCTCTTTTCCTTCGAAAATTGAGATTGACATCTTCTGCAATTGTAGCGCAAAACTCTCTTTATTCCAATTGTGCTTAAAACCCAAAATCGAAATCCTTTGAAGGTTTTTTAAATTTGAATGGGAATGACGCGTGTGTATACAGTATAAAAAGGCCACTTCCTACTGATTGGGAGGCATGCTGTCCATATTTACGACCATTTTCCACCTACTTGCATTTGCCTCAATATGGTCTAGGCTGTTTTGGAGCCAGATTTGAAAGATTTTAAATATCCTACAAAGTACAAGATCAATCGCGAATATCGCGTTCTCGGACTCCAATACCTCCTGTAGGTTCAACACAGGTGAGAAACAGTGCAAAGCTTAGGTCGGATCCCAGCAGGTCAAATAAGCTGTTGCCAGGTATTGCTATAGTTCTAATCCTGAGAAATTCTTCAACCTATTCAAACATGTTTCCAAAGCTTTCCAGTTTCTGGAACTAATGCATGATGCCCGAATGTCATACGCCAGGACAAAGAACACAGCCATTGTATGATATGTCATGGACAAGACAAATCACCTAATTGGTGGGCTGTGGGCCCTATTCGGAACCCTAAAAGCTTTGTGGTAGGCAGTTATTCTTCTCCAGAAACCAGTAGTCTCCCATTCATCATTCCTTCAGCCACATATAATTAGCGGTATTTGCTTGTAGCTGAATTGTAAATGGCCTGATTTACCTTCTTTGGATGATGACTATTCTAATTTTGCATTATTACACCTACTAAGTGCGTTTCGAAATTCTTCCATGAAGAGGGACATGAAAGCTGTCTTGGGCTCAAGATTCCTTCTTCCTGAGACTGCGTATATTGTGGTGTTCGTTCTGCTCTCTGGCGTTTTTGTCTACATTAGAAGATGTTTACTCTGGACGCTGACTGGACGCTAAGTAGCCTGAAATTAGTCAGGTCAAGACTCCATGCTGTGCTTGGTATGGAGCAGAATTGGCGCACTCTCTGCATCTTACAACCTGATGAGATTTGCCTCATGGCAGACTTCTTCAACTTGCTTGGCAGATGCGTTTCTCTCTGGTTAGCCCTACATGGGCGACTGGTCATAAAATATTCTTAGCAAACACTGTCTCTTATCTGGAAGGGAGGGTGTTTTGATTGCGAGGAATGTTCTAGACATTTGTCGTGGCGAATGTCCCTGAAATATCGAATAGTTTTTCTTCTCGACGAACTCCATTGCCAGGTCGTTTCTTACCGCTGTGGTAATATCACTGCGGCTGTCGCATTTGCAATGGTAGAGCGAGTAACAAGTAATATATTAAGAAACAGCTACGTCCACCACGTTTGTGGAGTAGCTAGGTTACTTTGTTTAATTAAAATTTGCCTGATCCCAAACACATTTTTCTAAATA